TTTTATATTTTAACCAATGTAGTTGTTGCCAAGTGTGTGTGTATGTTTCCTGACGTATGATCCATGTGCGACAGTTTTGACAGTTTGGAAATAAAACGTCTAGAAAAACTGTTACATGAGTTTATATTATTATCCTGTGTGTGGTTGCGTAAAGACTTTTTTATTGATTATTTCTAGTTTGGTTTGGATATTGTACCATTTGTAATTCCTGATATATGATGTATAAAGAAGAGGGATAGTGAAAACAAGAAAAAGTATTTTTGATTTTGTAAACCGAGTAATGTATATAATTAAGCAACTTATATAATTAGTATTTCAAGGTAGTCCCCCGCCCCAATCCCTTGCCCATTGTTGTCGTGGGGGGGCTTAGGAGGTGGAGACTGGGACCCAATGATGGGGAACTCCCCAACCTTGGGACTCAGCCCTCGACTCAACTAATTTTGCATGGTCTTTTTTCCACTCCTATTTTTTTGTTTCTGTCCCTTCACCAATCCCTTCTACTATCCACTTCCTAAGGTGTGAGAGCCGTGCTGAAAGGATGAAAAGCTGACTTTGTGCTAGTCCTAAATGGCTTGAGGGAGCCATGGGCACAGTTATTCCCCTGCTTTAGTTGCCTAGCCCTTACCCCTCAAAGGGACCCTGAGGGGTGGACTGTTTCTCTCCCCAACATATTCCAGGCTTACCATGGCCAACAGTGAAGATGTTATTCCACTATTAGGGGCAATGAGGCTTGCCCCTTCATCAAATAACCCCAACAATTCGAACTCTCCCGATTCCCTAACCCCAGGCTCTTCTTTGACCATGGCTCCAAACACTACGATGACTACTCAATGCCTACTAGTACAGTATCCACCCTAGTCAACACTCAACCCCCAGGAGACATTTTTACTCTCCCAACATACTCAACTTCAACACCTCTACCCCCACAACCTTCTTCATCAACTACCCCATCCTCCCTTATTAATACCTTACAGCCTTATTGCCCACCTCTCCATAACACTACCTCCTTCAACACTACTCCCTCTTCCACACGCCCCGTCCTTCTACTAACCCCATCTCTACAAAAATCTTAAATACTCTATTTAGCCTAGCCAAATGGGACCGGTTTTTCGTGATCCTTCCCACAGCTCCCTACTCTGACAACACCCTTCTCTTCCAGCAATGTCTCCAAAAACAAGTAGGGAAAGTCTCTTTCCGTAGCCGACCCGACCGTTCCTGTCTCGTCACAGTAACATCTGAAAACCAAGCCATAGCATTATCAAATCTAACTGATCTATATGTTAACCCCATCCCTGCAGAACCCCGCCCAACTCTCAATGCTTTTACCGGAACTGTTTCTATCTCCCCAGCAAATTGCCCTATCTGTAACAAAAATTGGTCAGATTGTGGAGAACCCCACTAACATTGATAAAATTACTTTCCGTAGACACGACCTGCCCTTTAATGTTTACATTGGTAGAGAATCCCTCCCTCTCCGACTATATCAACCTCCTCCTCATCAGTGCCAAAATTGTTGGCGTTTAGGACATCCAGCCAAACATTGCCGTTCCACAGCCAGATGCCCACTATGTGCCCAACCTGGCCATACTCGATCAAACTGCTCTGCACAATCACGCACATGTGCCAACTGTGGTGGCCCTCATAATGTATTTTATAGGGGCTGCCCCACCTACAAATTTGAGTCTGAGGTAGCAACTCTTAGAATCAGACTTGACTCACTCTATGTGAAGCCAGACAGGAAGCACGTCGACGAGGTTTTTCTCTTACTCCCTACTCCAGTAATGTCGCTCACTCTGCCACTCCCCCTACCTCCCAAGCTCCTACACCCTTCCCTAAACCAATCCCTCCTCCATCTTACTTCCCCTCTTCTACCTCCTACTTTCCCCAGTCAAATTCATTTGCCATCCTAAATCCAGACACTCCAATCTCTACTACAGCCCCAACACCTTCCCCTCTCCCTCCCCGCACTACCCGCAACAGACAGAATAAACTTTCCACCCCCTCTTCCCCTACCACATAATCACCTCCACCTCCCTTTGCCCCTACTCTTCAGACACCAGTCTTCTCTCCCCCCCCCCCTCACAAGAAAACCTTTGTCTCACAAAATTCCCCAACCAATTCCATTACAGAAACTCTTGAAGACATTCAAAACTATCTACTCGAGTCCCAAATTGACACTAAAACCCCTCATCCACACTCAAAGTGACTGCCGATATCCATCCTCCTCCTACTCATATCCCCCCTACACCCCATCCTCCTACCCCCTCCCAACACAGCCCATCCAATTCCTTCGCCCAGCTTTGACAACTAATCAATAACTCAACCACCCTTCACTACCATCTACTATAGTGCTACATGACCTTAAATGTCTAGCACATTTATTTTGTTTTTAACCATTAATCATTAACCATTTGCCACACTTGCTTCTGAATCCCTAATAACCCTAACTGACTTCACTGGCAAATCCATTCCTGTTCAACCTCATCCCTCCCACTTGCACCAGAACGATCTCCATCTCCCCGACAAACTGCCCTCTCTTCGACAAGAATTGGTCAGGTTGTGGAGAAGACCTAGTCGCCTGCCTCTTGGACTATGATACAGTATCAGTACAGTGCTTAACCATTCCTCCTAGAGGCCACCGTAAGTCCTCCATCAATATTACCAAGATTACTTTCCATGGACATGACCTACCCCTTAGTATTTACATTGTTAAATCATATCAAGTTCCCCTCCCTCCCCTGGCAATGTCAGGAATGTTGGCGTCTAGGCCATTGTGTCAAACACTGCCGCTTTGTTTTCCAGACCTCCCCAACCAGCTCCCATTTCAGAAACTAAAAGATTTTCAAAACTATCTAAACCTTTGACGTTTAACCAATCTTTCCCCTTTTCACTATTACACCTTTATATAGTTCTATATGACCTTTGATGCCTAGCACATAATTTTCTTTGAAACCATTAACAATTATTCCTGATTCAATTAGATTAATGAATGGCATTCTAGCAAGCAGTATTGACCAAGATTCTGTATAACCGATTCTGAAATTCCTTGACCAATCTAGAACTTGTGCAAGGGATTGTGTTCTAACTATATGAATTACTCCTGATTTTTTTTTTTTTTTTTTTTGGGGGGGGGGTGCATTTACAAGACCCTTTGATTTGAAATAAAGTATGAAAGGAGTAGCATGCATTTCTTTATCGTCAATATTTTATTATTTCATGCACCTTTTTGTTGAAAATAACGAATGGATTAAAGAATAAACACATTGAGTTATCTATGTACTTATTTTTGTAATTTATTTGTGATAGTCGTTACCATTTAAAAGTCCATGTGTAATTCATTATTATTACTCATTATGAAAACATTATTAGGAAAAGGTACAGCTGAAAAACGCTATATTTAAGAGTTCTGTATGAATATACCACTTATTTAGGGAATGGTTTGATACATACTGTGAATATATAGAAATGCAGACAGTAATTATGAAAAAAATTCTCCTATGTGGGGCCTATTAAGTCAAAGGTATGCCAAAAGATTAATTAAAAGTTCTTACACGTTGAACTAGTAACATTTTTCTATTGTTTTCACCTTCTGAAAAAAAACTCGCTTAAAAAACGCACACTTGCACGTATCCCCTACATTACGTGGTTTCCCAAAAGTCGTCCGGCAGCTGATAGTCAAACATCATCATGTCAAACTTAAAGACGTCATATATCTGTTTCTTCAACTCCAAAGGAACTTGTTTGTAATATCTGAAAAATATAAAGGAATGATCATTATGTATTCCAGCTTGATTTATTGTGTTTCGCAAATTTCTTTCAAATGAAGTCTGATCAATGTGGCACTTTAATCCGGTCTGTTTCACACCATGCCTAATTTTTGGCATTATAGTGCATTACCAGATGTACTTAATCACTTGACTTTTATAGCGTGACGTAGCTGGGACACCTACAAATCCATCTCCAAGACTACTTTCTGTAGACGTGTTTATATTGGCTGTCCGGCAATATCAACCTCCCCCCCCCAAAAAAAAAAAAAAAAAGTGTTTTATATGAGCTGCCCAGCCTACAAGTTTGAGTCTGAGGTGGCAACTCTCAGATTCAAACTTGGCCTAACTTTATGTGAAGTAGACAAGAAGCACGCAAACGAGTTTTTTCTTACTCCCAACGCCAGTACTGTCTTTCACTCTGCCCCCCCCCCCCCTCCATCCCAAGATGTTTCTTCCCTAGCTTCTCTTCCTCATCCCACTTCTACCCTCCCTCTCGCAGTCAAAGTCTTTTGCCGTTCTAAATCCAGACAGCCCAATCTCCACCACTATCCCTGGTACCTGCCCTTCAGCTATCAACGAAAGAGAGTGGTCTTAGTGCAGGTGAATGAAAGGGGTCTTGATTTGTGGGTTTATGATAGAAGTTAGATTTGAGACCCAAGAGACCCCCATCTTCCCGGTGTTGTGGACAGAGTGACGAGCTAGATCCCGTGTGTCTTCGTGTGTCTGTATGCGGCGGCTCCCTTCGAGGGCAGGTGCTTACTTCCGCCGCAGGTGTCAATAATGAAAGCAGTGTGGACACCTGCGTCCGATCAAGAAGGAATTTGCTGCAGGAAGGCAACTGATGGGGACAGAGACGTGGAGCGTACTATCCGGCCTTGCTGTGTATTGTTTACATCACTCAACCACGCACAAGGCTCGTCTTCGAGCCGTCTGCTATAGAATTTGCTCGGCACCTGCAGATGGTGATTCATGGTCACTAAGGTCGTTGCGTGCCAGAGTGGAGGGTGTGGCAGAGGTTTCGCACTGAGGTGCAAAATTCAGTAGCAAGGAGCGTATACTTTAGCAAGGAAGGTCACGTCGTCCTCAGAGTCAGGCCAGGAAAATGAAAGTGTAATAAGAACAATTTGTCACAAGAGATGTAACGTGTCACATGAGAAGGTGCTAACTACTTAGGATGAGCGAGTTCAGTTGAATGCCATCATATTGTAGAGAGAGAAAATAATGAGCAAGAATTCCATATCTTTGGGCTGAAGAGGCAAGCACTGCTTCGGACACATAGAGGCAGCTGGGCCTGATCTCAACTCTAACCGTGCGCATCTCGGGTGCGCCAATTGAACCATCGTGTGTGCAAAGTGTGCATAACTCCTCGGAGCGACGGAGGGCATGATTTTTTTCGTTTATGGCCATGAGCCGGGCTTGAAATTAACTTTGGCGTATAACTATGAAAACTCATTCGAAGCAAGTTGTCTGCAGTGCATTGTCATGATTCACAACAGAATCGACTACTACCCATTAATTACATGTTACATATCCACCGGAACCTTAAGATCAAAGAAGCATAAGTTCCAGCATAAGTGAAAACGAGATATCGAACTTCGAGATGTGTCTTCGTCTGTCTGCCATCTCTCTCCCTGTCTCACGAAACGTGTCGCTTTATTCGGTGGCTCCATTCGGGTGTTTATTTCCATTCAAGGAGGAGCAGGAAGGCAGCTACTGAGGACAGAGGTGTGAAGCCTTGGTGTGTAGTGTTTACATCTTTCCCCATTATCCCTTCTTCTTCCCCCTGGATACACATATGACTAACTGTCACAGTAACTCCATTCCCTGGACTCTTTCCCTCCTGACATTTCTTCTGGAACTGTGAACTAATCAGCATTAAAAGCCCCTTTCTCCTTTTGCTAATCCTTCCTTACCATACGGACATCTTTGCAGAATCCCACACTTCTTTCTTTGACAGCTTTTACCCTTGTTAATCCCTACCTTAGCCCATTTACTCACCCTCTGAACTGCTATACGTCTCTTGACATGTAGCACATTCAATCATCAACTAAAACCCAACAACCCTCTTTTATTTTGCGTTTTAACCATCGACCTATTCGCATAAAGACAAACAGAGACAGATCGCCTCAATTACAACAAACAGAAACACGACAGAAACAAAAGCCGAGTATCAGGGACGCACGCGAGGTCGGAGGTGTCCTTGTCCACGCCCTTCTTGATGGGGTTGGCTTGCCTGGCAGGGTCCGCGGGGAGGCCCACGACCCCGAACACGTGATGCAGCTCCTCCGTCTGCGTTTCCAGCTTCGTGACGTAATCGTAGTCGAGATGGCATGGCGAGCACAAGTACGAAAAGGTCTGCCTGCGAGACGGAAGGGAGTTTGGAGTTAACTTACGAGTACATTGTGTTTGAATTTCGGTCATGTATTTTTTTCAAACTTATTTTGGTGACGTGATGTAATTGTAAAAAGTTGTTAGACACACAAAAGGACTGAGACCGTTGGCTAATTCGCAGCATCAGCTTTCCCATTCCTCTTAAAGCGTCATGGCAGGGAGGACGCATTGGCTGAAGACTTTTCTCTTTAGGTATCTTAATTCCTCGCTTTATTTCAACCTATCAAGGTGCGTTTGCATGAGCTGTCCCAATTAAATGAACACTTAGTGAGTACCTCTAACGTTCGTCTTGTACTGATATTGCTCAAACTGGACTCAATTCGGTTTTTTAACTGTTCGCTTGATCTTTAAAGATTCCACTCTTAAATCCGCTTTCCACTTTGCAGTTCATTCATTGTCACTGAAGAGAGCAATATCGTCTGCAAATATGAAATTACTCGAATGCTCATCGCCTATTTTAATGTCTCCTGCTTGAATTACTCATTCCCTCCAGATTAGCCTTTTAGATAAAGAACATCGCCCTGCCTATTTTTTTCTGCTGACATTTTATCGGTTTAGATGTGAAGTTTCATGATCACAGTTTCATCATTCAATAAAACTTCCAACATTTTACAATAGACCTTTTTTATACCTTATTTATGAAATGCCTCTGGTACTGTTGCTATTTGTGCAGAACCAAAGGCCTTTTCGCAATTATGGAATCCTATTCACAAAGGTTTTCTGTACTCATCTGTGTTACGAAAGGCTACGAAAGCCTACCTTCAGATTTAGGGTCTAATGTGTTTAAAATGCGCGATGTGATGATTTCTGTAAATAATTCATGGATAAATCGACTTATAGGTTGGCAGTTCTCAGGTTCTTTCTATCCCCCCTTTCGTGAATGACCCTCTATTTTTTCATTATTGTATTCTCTACTCTTTTACAGTTTTACCGCCCATATTAGCCTTTTAGCTTCTCTCCAGAATGAGCCTGTCACAACCAGACAATTTTCGATTTTTATTATAACACTATGAATTATATAAATGTAACTGATAATGTGTATAGCAATAGATTGTGATTATGAACTTGTGATGCATTAACGAACTTATGATGCATTAAAATACCAGTTTCTTGGGTGGCGATGCCTATGACATCCTATGCACAGCCAATGACAGTCCGTAGATTAAGCCATATGTCTTCCACGTCTTATAAGGTCCCTATAAATACCATCTTCTGGTGTTGTCCCTCTCATCGTGATTACCCTACTCTCTGAACTGTAATGGTGGGGATTTTTCTAATTACTGCCTCCATTTATGTCTTTAGTTGGTTGTTTGTGCCGTATGGTTCATCCACGGCATACGCT